TTTATCTTGTTTCGCACCCGCCCGGCCCACCCGAATAGTGTGAGTTCGGTTAGCTGTGGGATGGAGAGGGAGTTGAGTACGAGGAAAGGGGAACTGACTCTGGGTTGAGTCACTATCAGAGTGGCATTAAGTACTATGCGAAGCGAGGGGCACATTTTAAGTGGGTCGCCAATCGGGTCTTGTACTAGTGAGGTGATGGACACCAAACTGTGTGAGTGTAATGTATTGTCGTGTGGGGAACACGGGGGGGGTTGAAGGAGACCGGTAAGGCAGAAACAGATGCATCACAAGACAAGCATGTCAACCAAATGGTATTCGCAGGAAAATGTTCCCATTTAGCCAATCCCCGTTCCCTCATGTTCACCATGCCTTCACCATCGCCTCCACCATGTTTATACACACCATATTCACATCATCCTCCCATAACTACTCCTTACAACTTCTTCATCCTCACAATGATGACCAGTGTGGCGAAGGTGCTGAGGCTGTCGACATCCCGTCTGCACGATATCTAGACCTCAATGGTTGCCAGCTGAGTGATATCATTAATTTGCTAACTTTTTGATGAACGCCATTAATTGACGACCTGAGCAATGGTCAGTTGTGTGCATTCAGCTTTAATTTGATGTCCAAACAGTCGCCATCGCCGGAATTTCCAGCATTTTTAGGGCGTTGAAGTACTTCTACACTACACTACACTAGTGTAAGGCACAAGGGGACTACGTCGCGTGATCCCAACAGTGTTGATGATGTTTGGGCCCTTTTTCAATGCAATTGGTCCATCTAATGTCAGTCTCAGAATTTGCCAGCCACCCCGTTTTGAGATGTGGCCGTCAGGCTCGATTGCGTCAGTGACGATCCACAGCACCGCATGGGCAGACACCGTCAAATGCACTAAGAAGCATGCGGAAGGAATCGCAGCAATTCAGTTACGGCAAAGTGATACCTGAACAAGCTGTAGCAATCCTTGAGTTCTCGACTGCTCCTTCCTTTCGCTCTCCAAAATTTCAAAACTTTCACCCAGAATCGCGAAGTGAACTTCAAACTCACTCACGTGTTCCACGTCCACCTTCCCGCAGCACCCATTCACAGCATCGATTCACCGCACCAATCCGCAGCACCAGCTTCAGCAGAAGTGAATGTGATCAGGGGGGCGCCACACCCCCGCCACCTTGACCCAAGTTGCCCAGCGCATTTGTCAAGCAGTGCATTGTGTGAATGGCTGCTGGCGTGACCACTAGCGGAAAAAGGACGAAATAACATTTTCTGCGAGCACATATGTGCGCATTTCATCAGTGTTCTGCATGCTAAAAACACGGACATAACCCAAAGCAGTAAACTTTGTACACATTTCGACACGCGTTATTTGGCCCTATTTTTCCTAGTGGACATCGCAGCTGTAGCTGTCTTGGTGTCGGATTTCATACCTGCAACTCGCAAATCTGTTTTCCCTTCCCGAACAGCGCAGCTGTGCTTTGCCACCGGGCGTTGGTTAGGAAAACTGGAAAATCTACATGTGGAACATCGAGAAAAGTAGCTAGCATTCAAGCTTATTGACTGATCACATTTCCAGAAGGGATGCTCTCAAATGCCCTAATTTCATGTCGATCGTCGTATTGCAGATCGGTGATAATCCTCTCATTTGTAACTTTGTAAGTTCTGAAAATTTTATGGAGCGAGCTCTATGAATTCTGAGTAAGAATTTCTGACAGCGAATTCTGGCATAAAGGTGTGGTCTATCTAGCAAAGGAATTTATGTCCATTGTGCCACCTCGTCAAAAATTGTCAATGTGTATATATTGTCAATGTGGACAATGCAAATTTGTTTGAAGGGCTCAAGGATTGAATTCGGATCGCAGGGACATGAGCGGCAAGCTCCTCCAAATAACCATTATAGGAAGTCGCCCTGCAGATGATCTGCTATGTCACTCAACGGGGCCACGCTGTTAGTCACTATGGATTTGTCATTATCAGTTCCAAATTGCAGCAGAAAAATTCTGGTTTCACATTGCTTACAATAGACCACCAACAGCGAATTGTTTAGCTGTTCGACAGAAAATCGTAGAACATTATTACTCTCGCTCTTTTCGAATGAAAGACGATGCACAAGCCGCCATCGCCATGAATCGATGGCAATAGTAAAACTTTTTTATGGCTGCAAACCTAGTAGAAATAATATCGACGAGTCTGCGATGGAAAATGAAGAGCACACGTGTTACCAACTGCATCTCCAAGAAGAATGGGAATTTGCTGATCTCATTTGCTTGACTTGCCTATTTTTCCTTGCCTATTATGTTGGTAATGTTGACTTGGAACTCTGCTTGGCATTTTATGAGGATTTTGCACCTTGTTGAAAGCCTTTCTTATGTGCTGTCATATCAGGACTTGAGTGTGACTGTCCACACCAACATTCAGAGCCACATTGGAAATTGTCAGCAGCCCGTTTGCGCCCACTCACGCACAATGGGTGCCGCCATTGCGCGGACGTTACTCAGTCAGGCACCTTGTAAACACAAATAAATAATAAATTAATTAAAAAGATCAGAGTTTTTCTGCATTACAACACCATTTGCACAGCAGCGCTTTATTTGCATGTGCATTGGCTTTTGCGCCACCCAGCCGGCAGCACCACAAAGCCACTCGCACACGGCCCGAAGGCACCTCTCCCAAGTCCCTTCAGACTGAGGGCCGAGCCTCCCCCGCACACACAAACAGTCGGCAGAAGGGGCAGATGCTCGGAAAGACGGTGGTGCTGGGCCTCTGTGACGTCGCAGGGGCGGGGTGAGTGAGCACGGAATACTTTAACGATCGCGGTGTTGGCCGGCGCGATCAAAACACAACCGCACCTGAGGGATGGCGACGCACTCACCTGGCAGTCTCGCGCTGCCGATGGCGATCTTTCTGCTCCACTGAGAAGATGGAGCAATGGGGATCAACAGGTGGAATCGGGGGATGGGTGTGGTGGAAACGGAAGAGAGCGGAGCTGGTCGAAAGATGCTATCCTAGTTGCCAATCTGGCGATCGCATTTGCTGAAAGTGCAAAATCAACAACCTTGCACCTTCAAGGTGGTTACACACAGATGGAATGAGCTCCATAATTCTGCTGACGGAAGGGGAAGGGGCGGCATGGGATGTCGTATTTTCCTTTCTGTCAAAAAGACAGTCTTTGGCAGGTGGTCATGTGGCATTGTTGTTGGCATTCTAAATCTTCAAAACATCAAAACTAGAAAGGTTGTGTCTCCAGCCTGGGCCAGGAGACATCGAAAGCTTGATTATCGTGTGCTGACGAACCGCAAACTCCGAATCTGTTCCCCTGAGCGGGACCAGCATTTCCCATCTGAACCCAGCTAAAATGGGGCTTCAGTTGGTGTCAAGCAACTTTCATGGAGTGTCGACACCAGAAAGTGTTGTGCCAGCCTGCATCCTGGGCTTGTAGATCAGGAAACAGATCCACAAGCCACAGAGCCAACAACTGATTGGGGCTGGGGTTGCATTTCTGAACTGCCTGTAAAGTGGAAAATGACAGGCCACCCTGTGATTCATCAAGAATGCAAACCATAGCACAATGCCCCTCATGAGGTTCAGGTGCACAGAAGTTGCTTCTAACTGTTCGTGACAAATATTACTAATGGAAATAGGCAGTAAAAAACGCTGCCAAGAGCTGCTGAGTGGCGGTCTGATTGAGGCTTGTTGCCCTGCCTCAGGGTGCAAGTCTTGGCGTCTCTGAAACCACCTGAGGATGAGCAGTGTAGGTGGGATGCAGTGCACCTGGAAGGCTTTGAGGATCCAGCAAGGGCCTTCGTGGGCAATTGCATTCCATCCGCTGCCATTGGGATGAGACACTGGGGATTGGGCAAGGGAGGCAAACCAGAGGTACGATGAGTTTTGCATTTTCTTGTTCCAAACACTCAAGATATGTGCGAAGGGTTTCTGCTTTGCAGTGTTTGATTGTGATCGCCCAATTTGGCAAATGACTGCATAGTCACACTGCCACATAGCCACACAGGTCAGACAGGCTCAGGCGGGTGTGGATGTTACAAAGCCAGGCAACTGTGAAGGGCTAAAGGGCAACCTGTGCATCGACGTTGCGCAGCCCCCAAGCTGCTCAAGTGTTCTCTGACCTTCATAAGATTCCGAAGCAAAGATTTGATTTGGCACTGGGACTTGGTCGTTCAATAGTTGCAAAGAAGTAGTTCAGGTATTTCATTTGGAAGATTGTTTGTCAATACATCAGACTGTGGGCACCATCTTCCACATTGCATACAACTTTACATCATGGATAAACTGGATAAGCATGGATTAAATGGATTGAAGGTTGCCCCTTTGCCTAGAATCATAAAGTCATTGTGAGATAAAGAAAACACAATGAAGCTATTCTTGACAATTGAATGATCTGACGATAATGAACCCTTCCCATTAAAAACCACATTTACCCACAAGCAGACTGCTGCACAGCACGGCACAGCCAAAGGTACACGATAGTGACCAGGTGCATGAGGCAATCATGAGCAGATCGGAAACAAGGAAAGAATGTACAACAGTGGTTGTCATCGTGTATCAGACCCTTGGGTGCAAGACAATGGCAAAATTACAATGAGAAAAACCCATGAGAACTGACACTCAGTGGATGCACATGTTGGTGGATCAGTTCCACATAAGTGAACATGTTATTGTTGCACACAACTCAGAAACAAGAAAATGCCTATATTTAGTGTGCAGGTTGTTGCACTATTGTCCAGTCCATTCTGTACTTTCTTGATGCTGGCTGTTGAGAACGACAGACCACATATATTCTGCCAACAGCTGATTATATAGTGCAAATGCGCGCCCTTACTGTATTTTGCTATATAAGGCTTCGTTCATTCCTGTGCAAGGTGACCTGCATCATGGCCAACACACAAGTGCCTGCTGCAGGCAGTGCCGCCTTTGTGCATGCATTGGTGGAATTCATTCTTGGTGAAGCAGGGGGAGGCAACCTGAGCCTTGTGGTGGTGGGGTCCATGCGCATCCGGGAGAGCATGACAACTCAAGGTACAAGCCCTGTAACCAAGTACTCCAGCCCTTTGATTTCCTCTTTTACTTCTGGCATCACATTTCATGTGAGTTGAACCCCATCTTTTGGGAGGCTAGGTGGCCTTTTTCTGTCTTGCAGGGCAGTGCAATTCAACATAGGGCCCCACAAAGATGCTATCGTTCCCTGTTGCAGCCATACGACCAGAGAGAACCAGCCAAAACTCCGATCATTGGCCATCCAGTGACCATGGGCACTTTGAATCATGAATTTTGCTCCACTGTGCATGCATGACCCTCTCACATCCACATATCCGTAACTGGCGTGGATGGCTGGTATTTGGGTTTAGTGGGGCTGGTGGGGTAGAGCGCTGTTGGTAGGTTGTGTGGAGGTGGCATTGGCCCTGCATCTTGTAGGCGATGACGGTGTATTTCCGTCCCAAAACACCGTATTGTCCCTCATCCGTTCGTTTTATCTGCTTGCCACCAAGGGGAGGGGGTTTGCATCGACTATCTCTTGCCAGCAGAGTCTTCTACCCCATGTGAGAAAATGCCACGTGGGCAACTACATTCTATTCTTGTTTCATTTGAGAGTTATGTAATCAAGGCAACACAGGCCACAAGAGGAGCAGAACCTTCAAGATCATTATTTTGGAAGTCGGAAATAAGTATGCCTGCCACTGTTGGGACAATGGGCAAAGCCTGCTGAGCATTTCTCCAGAAGCCTTTCTGACTCAGAAAGAGAAGTTGCACTATCAGCCCACATTGCCGCTGTGGTGCTAGTCTGCCGTACAATTACTGTCCTATGAAATGCTTTTGAGAGCTTTACAGTGCTGTGGAGTACACACAAATACTCACAAGTATGAATCCCTGTGCCAAATATCCCAAGTAGTGTTATCAAGCCAGTGTCTATGATTGCTTAAGGAAACCACTTGGGTGGTTTGGGAACCGGTTAGAAGACCATTCTATCCTTTCGACTGCTCCTGGTTTCTTTCAGTGTCTGACACAAGTGTGACATCTGCAGCAACTTGACTGAACCATGTGGCTCCGACACAGTCCATCATGTTAGATCTCTGCACCACCGGCCATTCCCTTGTGCTACCAAGGGCCATGCGCTGTCATGCTCTCGACAGCTGCCATCACTGCAGACTTCGGTTGGGCCACAATAGGCCGACCACTCCACAGCTTTGCAAACAAATCATGGTGATCGCCATATTGTCCTCAGGTACATTGCATCATCATATGCGGCGGGTTTAGTCCAACCTATATGTTTGAAAATGGGCTCCTTATCTGTGTTTTGGGGGTGGCTTTGCCCAGTGGGATTGGGGCAGAGCTCAATGCCAGTTTCATGGCATACACGCAGGACCCTATGTCGTATCTCTCTGCGGGGCAACCATTCCCGCTCCCTGGAACGACCTCGAGGTGTTGCCTCCCACATGCAAGGTAGCAGAACCCCTTCTGGCGGCACTGTTTCATTTTCTGACCGCCCTTCGAGTGCCAGCGACTTGCGTCATAGCGGCAGGTGAGCGTCCATTGGTTAAAGTTGCACCAAAAAAGCGCTAAATGATTGCTTAATTGATCCCGTTAGAAAGGGGCTGACAAGAGAGGGCTTTATCACAAAAGGGCTTAGGTTACCGATTCACAAATTCAGCAAAATGTCAGTGTCCAGACATAGACAGAAACTGCGTGAAATGGGCACACTTTTGATAGTGGTTGGGAAACTCGCGCCTGGGGAAGAAATGTGTGTTTTTGTGGCGTGCCTTTTCAGCCGGGTGTTTCACGCATATCCATCAGGCTGCTCTTGGGCGTTCGCAGCCCCTTCTCGAAAAATCCGTTCTTGAGTATTGGCAACCCGGTTTTTGATTCTGGACTGTTGGTGCTATGGCTTATGGTCAATACTCGCAGGAAAAGAGGGCGTCAAATGCACAGAAAATGGTCAGTTTTTGCAGAATGGGCTATGAATTTTCCCCAAACGCGCAGTAAATTCAACATGGAAAATCGCCCAGCACAAACACAAAGAACGGGCTGCCAACATGCGATGATAAAAGCGGCAGCAGGTAGACTCAAAAAGGGCTGCCAACACGCGATGATAAAAGCGGCAGCAGGTAGACTCAAAAAGGGCTGCAAACGCGCAGGAAATGTGCCCCACGACTGGCGGACAAAACCAACTCAATGTCGTTAATGTCCAAAAGCACCTGTGCTTCTGTCGGTTCACCAGTCTGTGTCGCTGATTCCAAATGGATTGCGTCCACCCTGTCCTAGTATCATGACCAGGCTTGGTTTTTATGTTTACGTTTACGCTTTTACTTTTACGTTTTTATGCATAAAAACGTAAACTTGCAAAAGGGCCTATTTTTACGGCTATTTTTACGTTTTTACGTCTCCCTGGCACATGTAGATTACACGACAAAAGTTGCGTACAATGATCAGTCTTCCGCCATCTCCAGCACCCGCAACACAATGTCCACCTCGCCCTTGGCAAGGGTGATAATGGCGTTTAACAAAAATTCATCTTCTGCCTCTTCCAAGGCGTCTGGCTGCCACTCTCCGAACTCTGTAAATCTGTGCGTACTGTTCTTATGTACACCAGGCAGTTCTTACGTTGTATTTACGTATTTTTACGCATTTTTAGGCGTAAAAACTTAAAAACTATTTCTACGCGTAAAAACGTGAATACGGTCAGTTTTACGGCGTAAAGCCAATCCTGATCATGACATATCCAGGGCCTGTTTGGCAGCGCTCAATGAGCGGCCTGCACTAACAAGGTGCCAATGGGGCGCCTCCCGCCATTCTGAGGCTATGCGTTTCCAAGTGATGGCGACCAAGAATCGAAAACACCCTTGTATCCTGCTACTTTCGCCGACTGTGCCCAATGACCATCCAGTATCTTCTAGTTTCCACGATCATCCAATAGTTCTAGTACTCAATATTGCGCTCATTGTTGATTGTGACTGCAACCGGTGCGGATCCGCGTCCCTGTGCTGCCGCAGGCTTCAAGCCTGGCCGATTGCAAGACGTCTCGACCTCGACCCTGCCCGTCGTCAGCCAGCTGGGCCCCGTCGTCGCCCGCGGCCTCAGCTGCGCCTTCGCCGCTGAGGCGCCTGGAGGGCTGGAGGCCTCGGCGGCATGGCATGGCACCGCCGACGACGCCCTGGACGGGAGCGTGATGTTCTTGTGACGTTGAACTTGAACTGCCATGTTCCTGTGACTGTAAATTGCAAGCTGCATTGCAAGTCGCTTCTCTTGAACAGAGAGAACAGCTGACAGTTCCAACTGACAGTGTCATGCTCCTGTGAAGCGCCACGTTCCCGTGACTGTCACCTGGAATTGTCGTGTTCCCCTGACTGTTCAGTGGAGTTTGATTTTCGAATATTCGGCTGTTGTTCACTGGATTACTGGTTTTCCTGTGAAGCGATATGTTTCCGGGACTGTTCATTGGCTCGCGAGGGCCGCTCCCCGCGCACCATGGCGGCATGTTTGGGTAGCGGGGGGCAGTGTGCCAAGCGGAGACCGAGGCCGTTGCCACTGTTCTGCGCAGCTCTAGAGCATGGCATCTTGCCCAATGGGGGTCTTCATTGAATCAAAACCCGCTGGTGAGAGGCGGCGCATAAAGCACTGCTAGGATTACGACACTTTAGCCTTTTCGAGCAGTTCTGCACGGACCATTTCTGCGCAAAATCTTGCTCGGCGGCACAAGCCCACATATCTTGCGATAGGACAGGGGGAGGCATCTGGACGCTGAAATTTGATGTAAATTTCGGAATTAAAAAAAAATGTAAAACAAATACACGAAAATGAACCGCACTGTGCAATCGCAACTTTTCCTGGCTTCTTCGCGACTTGCCGCTTCCCAAGGGAAAGCGAATTGTGCGCCGCCGAGACCATGTCTGCCCGCGCCTCTCGACGCTGACCCTCTTCTATCTGAGCGGGCGACGTCTCCGAGCATCGCACGTATCGTACAACCTATTGACGATCGAATATTGCATCGGTTTTTGCATCGAATAACGCGTTCATTCAATCATTCGGCTCTTCCTTCCAGAGCCAACTTCGCCTCCCTTTTCAGAGCACGCAGTTGGTCCTGGAAACCCTCGGGTCTCGCGCTCTCCCCCCACTGCTTTGCGAGGCACAGCAGCTTCTGTGCAGTGGAGTACATGTCTGCCAGCCTCTCCTGCCCCGGCCTCTTGGCGGCCCTGCAGCGCTGCTCCCTGGAGAGAACCTTCAAAGGTGGAAAATCTGTCAGCGGATAGGAAAATGCTGCATGTGTCCCATTGCGTGCATTGCACCACCCTACCCCCTTATGGGTGAGTGGATAGCCCTGCCAACCCATAGTCAGTTCTTGAGGCCCTTTTCGTTTAAGAAAGGGTGCCGTATGGTTTTCATCGCCCTCCCGAGGGACCACTTTGTGAAATCATTTCCCGCACAGAAGAGCATGTGTTGGCCACAAAGGCCATCCCCCTCCATAGTACGCTGCAAAGATCGGCACCAAAGACAAGCTTAAAATTACGTGAAATCGGCCTGGGTCTATCGCGGTTAGCAGCTCTTATGTATTGGTCAAACACGGACAATAACCACGCACGGTGGGTAGAACATTTTCCCAGCAGCCGCGACGCGAAGGCAATGACTCTATTTCAGGAAGAATGTCACAACAGAGTACTGCTATGCTGCCATGCTTCAAGCACAAGGCACGAAGTTTGTACCATTGTTTCCATGGACACGCTGTTTGCGTATAAGGAGATATGGCATACATGGCGCACACGGTGTATATGAAATGTGGTGATGGTGACACTGGATGAGAGAACGTGTGTTGGCGTTGAACGCAATACTGCGTATCTGACCTAGTGCGTATCGTGTAAGGCATCCATTACGGTATGCCTCTTGCGCCTGGGCACGGCCATGGGCGAGAGTGTGCCAAGCGCCGATCAAGGCTGTTTGTCATGACAGTTTTCAAAACACGGCTCAAGCGGAAAGCGCACGCCCCTCAGCGGCACCTCTGCGGCAATGGCGTCCGCCCTTCGCACGATGTCTTCCGGGATGTTGACGGCGGTCGCCAGGATGAGGCCGTAGTGGCAGGGGATCCTTTGGTCCTCCGGCGCCGGCAGCAGGCGCCGCGTGAAATCCAGCCTGTTGGCGGAGATGTCGACCTCAAAGGCCAGCACCCTGGGGCGGCACAGCAGGCGATTGCGGTGATGATGTGCAGTTGTGAGCGAGGTTGAATGGTTGTTCTCACGGTCGGAAAAGATGCGCAATTGGCAGTGGTAACGCTTCAGTATTTATGTGTGGATTGCCGATTTTGCTATTTGTATGATGCTATTATCGTACTTGTGATAAGTTTTTTTGTTGCTGAATGCTGGACTTTGATTTGTTGTGTGCCGCAAATACGGGGATATATAGATGGGCAACGCACATTCTCCATTGTTGCGCCAATGCATAGGTTATTGGTGTTTTTCGAAGAAGAAGGCAACGATTGTACTGCAAAAGTATTTCAGGAATTACTCACTTTAAGTGCCGCCCAGTGGCGATTTCGTTGTGCCACCGGTTCCTTGTCATCAATTCTGAATTCTCATGACAATTAGCCGTGGCGCACGGATTCCTCATGCAAAGAATGGAAACTGTTTTGGAGTGTCCAAGGGTAATTCAATGCGTCATACACGCGCCTTCCTTACATGGATCCGAGCTGCGCAAATTTGGGAGTACAGGTAAGCTGAAGTTCCCTGCAATCACAGTGTGAATCGAATTATTGTCACGAACTCAACTTGAAATCTGTCCAATTATAATTTCAAGGCCCGCACTTTTGCAAACGCCATTCTGCAACACCGTTTGCCCCCTTTCCCTCTCGAAATTCACCTGCAATTTGGGTACAGCACGGCCAGGCTCTCCAATCCACCGAAGTGCGTCGCGAACAGCGTGTAGGAGCCCAGCGACACCAGCCTCTCGCTGACCGCCCACGCGATGGCCACCCCGTCCGCCGTCGACGTCGCCCGCCCCAGCTCGTCCATGATGACTAAGCTCGAGGGCGTTGCGGCATCCAGGATGTGTGCCACCTCCTGCGGTGGGCGCGCAGCGCTTTGCAAATTTGGGTTGTGATCGTAAGCCCTGAAATGTGTCCGACTAGACATTCGGACCATTAGGGGAAAAAGGGCCAAATAACACGTGTTCACATGTGTACAAAGTTTACAGGTTTGTGTTATTTTTGTGTTCTTAATGTGCAGAACGTTGATGAAATGTGTTTTATGTGTGTTCGCAAAAGTGTTATTTGGCCATTTTTTCCCTAGTGGACAGGACAGACATTCCAAAAGCCCATTTTGCATCAGCGCTTGCCACTATCGCAACGCTTTTGGTACAATGGCCATCCGAACCTCGGTGCATTGTTTTATACCCATCGGCATGTGGAAATGACATGGCCCCTCCTGCTGCCGAGCAGCTGAAACGGTGGAACGGCGCTCTTCCTGAAAAGAGTGGCGATTGCCATTCGTCAGAAGTTTTGACCTCGCCTGCTTTTGCCCACTTGTTATCGATAACAAACGGGCAAAACCAAATGATGCAGGAAGATTTGGCGCAGAAACATCTCGGGCAACCACACATGAGTTTGTGAGAGATGGATGGCTCGAGTCAGCTGGCAACTACCGCCCGATTCCGAGCCACTGTTTGGCTGCTCGATATTGTACCCAGCTGCATCAATCCGCTGATCGATCAGCGGGTTAAGTAATTTAACTTAAATCCCTTCATGAAGGAGTTTAATGGCATATGGTACATTCTCTTTCACCTGCATTTCCACTCTGAAGCTGCTTGAGTTTGTCTCAATGCTATCAGAGGTGCCGATGCGCGTCAATAGCCGGTCGAAGACCCGGGTGGCGGCAAACTTGGCGGGCACGAAACAACCAATCTGGGCCACGATGACGATCAGGGCCACCTGCGATTAGCGCACAGGAATGCAGCGACAGGAATGAGCGCACACATCTCTGTGAATGAACTGTGCTATTCTCGTATGTATTCCCCAGAGTAATCAATCATCATCTTCTGCGTTTTCTGCCTTTTCGAAAGGGACTTTAAGGGCGTTTTAAAACCAATGCGTTAAGGCAACGGCCCTTGCGCCGGAATTGATCGTATTTTTTTATAATGTATGTCACCCGGTTCAATTTCATTCGTCTTTACCAGATATCATAGCCTCGAAACTGGCTTGGAGGGTGTTCAGGTCGTCTGATGACAGCACATGGTACTGGCAACACATTGAAATTCGGCAACTGCGAACAAGCATGATCATTGTGTATTTTATTTGTTCCTTCTAGGCGTTATGTGCCACCTCCATTTGTAAATTTTGGCCAGCTGAGTAGGGCTACCTCAGTCGCTGTGGCTCCACAACGATTCCTGCATGGATGCATAGCCAAACTATAGTTACCGCGGCCGTGTTGGGCACCCATTTTATGCCCATTTATGCTATATTGCAAGGACCATTTCGGGGACATCGAAGGACATAACAATCTTCACGTATCACCTGATATGCACTCCGGCAGCCACGAATTTTGGAATTTGACTAGTTGCGCAATTTTGCTGCGCGATATCTAAAAACATCTAAACCGATTTCTGGACCTTCAGGCTGGCTCATGGGCTCACTCCTCCGTTGTTTGATCGGCGGATCCATTTGTTGGTTGAATGAGAGAGCGAGCGAGTGAGATGAGCAAATCATGGAAATTGTTTGGCTCTGGGAAAATAGGAAGCGGACGGCTACCTCCTTGCCTTGTTATGTAAAATGCACGATGATTACGTGATGATCCCCCACCTGTTTAATGTACGTCGTCTTTCCGCCATTGTTTGGCCCCGTGATGACGTGGAAGCTCGACAGCTCCGACAGGAACGTGTCGTTTGGGCGGAACTGCGACTCCTGGGTGGCTTCAACCAGGGGGTGGCGCCCGCCCAGCAGGGCCAGGGGGCCCGATGGAGACACCTTGGGCCGGACGAAGGGCTCGGTTGCCCCGGTGGAGAATTGGGCGAAAGAGCACAGCATGTCCATCAGGGCAACGCTGTCGATGAGCTTGTGGAGAACGGCGATGTGTGTAGCAACATTGAGGACCACTTCCTCCAGCGCCTGTGGGTGGCGAACGCAGACGCACGGTGTGAAATCTTTGGAAATTAAATTCCCTTTTGTGATTCGTGCACAGCGGCAATTGTTAGGAACTAGCG